ACTCACCTCAGCCTCCCAAAGGCGCAGGATTACAGGCTGAGCCACCGAGCCCAGCTTCCAGCGATCCTTCTGCTTCAGCCTTCCAAGTAGCTGGAAATACAGGCGTGTGCTGCTATGCCCAGCTAATTTTTAAAAATTTATTATAGAGATGAGTTCTCTCCAAGTTGCTCGGGCTAGTCTTGAACCTGCAGGGTCAGGCAAGCCACTCGCCTTGCCTCCCAGAGTGCTGGGATTACAGGCTGAACCACCAAGCCCAGCCATATTTTTTAAAAACATTTTTATTATTTCTCACCATTTATTTATTTATTTATTTATCAGGATTTATCGAGAGGACAGAAAGGCTCCCACAGTGGGAGGGGACCCGAAGTGGTTGCCCTGTTTTTTTATTTATTTTATTTTTTTCTTTGAGTTGGAGTCTCACTCTATCGCCCAGACTGGAGTGCAGCGGCCGCTCCCGGCCACCGCAGCCTCGACCTGCTGGGCTCCGGCGATCCTTCCGCCTCAGCCTTCCGAGTAGCTGGAATTATAGGCGTGCGCTACCACGCCCGGCTGATTTTTTGATTTATTGTAGAGATGAGGTCTCGCTGCCCAGGCAGGTCATGAACCTGCGGGCTCAGGCAATCCACTCACCTCAGCCTCCCAAAGGCGCGGGATTACAGGCTGAGCCACCGAGCCTGGCTTGCCCTGTTTTTAAAAACTTCAAATGGCCAGGCTCAGTGACTCAGCCTTTAATCCCAGCACTTTGGGAGGCCAAGGTGTCTGGACTGCCTGAGTCCGCGGGTTTAAGAACAGCCCAGGCAACTTGGCAAGACCTCATCTCTACAATAAATACTTAAAAATTAGCCGGGCATGGGAGCATGCACCTGTATTTCTGGCTACTTGGAAGGCTGAAGCGGAAGGATCACCTGAGCCCAGCAGGTCCAAGCGGCAGTGGCTGTGAGCGTGCCACTGCACTCCATCTTGGGCGACAGAGTGTGACTCCAACTCAAAAAAAAAAAACTTCAAATGTACAGAAAAATGGAAAGACTGATAAAATTAGTACCCATTTACTCTTTACATGGATTCACCAGTTGTTTGTTTGTTTTTTTGAATTGGAGTCTCACTCTGTCACCCAGGCTGGAGTGCAGTGGCATGCTCACGGCCACCACAGCCTGGATCTGCTGGGCTTAGGTGACCCTTCCACCTTAGCCTTTCAAGTAAGTGGAACTACAGACGCATGCCACCACGCCTGGCTAAATTTTTTTTGTGATTTATTGTAGAGACGAGGTCTCACCAAATTGCCCAGGCTAGTCCTGAACCCCTGGACTCAGGCAATCCTCTTGCCTCAGCCTCCCAAAGTGCTGGGATTATAGGCTGAGCCACCATGCCCAGTCGATTCACCAGCTGTTAATATTTACATTCTATCCATGGAGAGAAAGAGAGGAGAGTTGTTTATTTTGTTTGCTGAACTATTCTAAGTAAGTTGTAGACCTCATATAGACCTCAGCCCTTCGCAGGTCCCTCCTAAAAACAAGGTCATTTGACATAACTACAACATAATTACCGAACTTAAGATACTTCACATTGAACACACTAGTACCTAATAGTCCAGCTCCCCACATTCAGATGTCCCAGTAATGTCCTTTATAATTTTTTCCCAATCAAGGACCCAGCATTGAATTTTGTCATGAAGTTTCCTGGTTTTGTCTTTCACGACACTAACATTTTTGAAGTATCCATATCAGTTTGCTTGGAGACAACTCCCTGTTTTTCTTACACCTGCAGGCCTCACTCGGTGAGTCAGGTAGCATTTGAGTTTGCCTCCTCCAGCAATGGCCCTGGTTGGCTGAGCCCAGAATTGAAATGTTGCCTTGAAACATCAACTAGTGGTCTGTGTGAAGGATTTTTTCCCCTCCCATTTGGTGTTGATTCATACCACCTCCCTTCCTCTATGTACATGCATTCTAGGAATCTCAGGCAAGCTCAGCAGCATTGAAAGAAGAAGGCCGGGCTCTGTAGCTCAGCCTGTAATTCTAGCACTTTGGGAGACCAAGGCAAGTGAATTGCCTGAGCCCACGGGTTCGAGAACAGCCAGGGCAACTTGGTGAGACCTTGTCTCTACAATAAATCAAAAATTAGCCGGGCGCAGTAGCACACCTGTAGTTCTGGTTACTTGGAAGGCTGAGGCAGAAGGATTGCTGGAGCCCAGCAGGTGGACACTGGGGTGGCCGTGAGTGTGCCACTGCACTCCAGCCTGGGCGACGGAGTGAAACTCCAACTCCAAAAAAAAAAAAAAAGAAGAAGAAGAAAGCTGGATCTGTTAGAAGTGCCCACCCAACAAGCAGGGCCTGGGACAGAATAGGACCCTTGATTTCAGAGCCACAGCACAGGAGACAATTCTTCTTTCTTGGGTGGCATGTGCCAATTCCGGCTCCCCAGGGCTGCCTACCTGCCTTTGTATGTGGGACTCTGTCTCTGTGTCACTTCCCTGTCTCATTCTGTGCCCTTGGTTCAAATCCCAGCTCTACCACAACTACCTGTGTGAACTGTGTGTCTTGGTTTCCTTATCTGCAAGATGGGTACGATAATATCTCTACTTCACCCTGCTGTGAGGATTAAGTGAACTAATATGTGTAATGTGCTTGAGGCATGGGAGGTGAGACACGCAGATGGTCACACACGGGAAACATGAGTCACTGTGTGTCCGTGTGACCATCTGCGTGATGGTTTCACTCCTGTCCATGAGGTTGGGACAGAGCGTGTGGCTGTGACTTTGTGTCCCCCGGAACGCTCTAGTATCTGAGTTGCCTCCTCCCCAGCCCTGGTCTGATCTTGACCCCTTTCACCCCAGGACTACATTCCTGTGGAGGGTGAGCTACTGTTCCAGCCAGGGGAGACCTGGAAGGAGCTGCAGGTGAAGCTTCTGGAGCTGCAGGAGGTGGACTCTCTCCTGCGGGGCCGCCAGTCCCGCCGCTTCCACATCCAACTCAGCAACCCCAAGTTCGGGGCCCGCCTGGGCCAGCCCCACTCAGCCACTGTCATCATCGGGGACCCAGGTAGGCAGGGGGAGAGGGAAAGCTGGGATCTCTCAACTAGGGTTGCCAGACTTAGCAAATACGAACACAGGACACCCAGTTCCATCTGAATTCCACATAAACAACCAACATCTGTAGTCTAAATATGTCCCATGCAATATTTGGGACATGCTTATCCTTTTAAAAAGTGCTAGTTGTAGCCAGGCTCGGTGGCTCAGTCTGTAATCCCGCGCCTTGGGAGGCTGAAGTGAGTGAGTTGCCTGAGCCCGTGGGTTCGAGACCCGCCTGGGCAGCGAGACCTCATCTCTACAATAAATCAAAAAATTAGCCAGGAGTGGTAGCGCGCACCTGTAGTTCCAGCTACTTGGAAGGCTGAGGCGGAAGGATCGCCGGAGCCCAGCAGGTCGAGGTTGCGGTGGCCGGGAGCGGCCACTGCACTCCGGTCTGGGCGACAGAGTGAGACTCCAGCGCACACAAAACAAAACAAAACGAAACGAAAAAAGTGCTAGTTGTTACCTGAAATCCAATTTGCTTAGTAGAAGAAGGGGCCGTGCTCATCTTCTCTGTGTTGCTCCAACTTGAGTCAATGTGCTGCCAAGGTGAGCACTGAAATCCCAACTTGCCTAAGCATCCCGCCTTTTACCCGGCAGCCCTGCTCTCAAGCGGAAAGACTGAGCTCAGGCTGCAGCCACATGGCAGCAGTTCCCCCAGTGGCCCTAGCCCTTTGACTCCAGCCACAGTTCCCCCTGAAATGCAGGTGCTCCTGGGAGGGATGAGCCAGTTCGTTTTCCTCAGTCCTTGACCTCCAGGGCTGTCTGTGATCCCACCCCTGAGAGGAGGCCTGCGGGGAAAGTGGGAGGGGAGGGGGATGCTCAGGGAGCCGCCTGGAGATGGGGTGGGGAGGACACGTTCTCGCGTGGAATGTGCCCTTGGCTGCCGAGCGAGAAAGAGGGCCGGAAGAATTCCCTCCTCCTCCTCCTCCTGAGACCCTCGTGGGTCATCTGCCAATCTTGGCATGATGCCCTCTGCGACACTAAGGGGGCACCAGTCCCCTCTTCCCCCAGAGACGCGGGCGGGCAGGTCTGAGTTGAATGCGCTGGGCGCGTTTCGTGTGTCTCCGGCGCCCCCTGGTGGTGAAGGGGTGTCTGAGCCGGCTGCCCTGCCCTGACTTGACCCGCTAGATGAACTGGATCGGAACTTCATTGGTCAGACCGCCTCATCGCCTCCACCTGCCCGCGGCGACCTGGGCGCCCCACAGAACCCCAATGCCAAGGCCGCTGGGTCCCGCAAGATCCATTTCAACTGGCTGCCCCCTCCTGGCAAGCCAATGGGGTACAGGGTAAGGTAGGGGGCAATGGCCCATGATAGGGGTGAATGGGAAGGTCTGGCACCCATCACCCATGGGAGAGGTGGGCCACCGGGAGCCAGAGACCCCAGAGGGAGGGAGGAGGGCAGGTCCCTGCACAAGTGGGCAGAGAGAAACCGTGTATGTTCCAGGGAAGACCCATTCTGAGTTTTTCAGACATTTTCCCTCCTCCTTGGAATGGGGCCCCTCCTCCCCCTGCCTCGAGACACCCCTGCTCTTCCCAGCCCTGCTGTATGAACGTGGCAGGTCGCCCAGCCCCCTTCCCCGGGCCTCAGTGTCTCATCTGTGCAAAGGGGACAATAAGGGTCAATGGAGGAGGCATGGGCGGCTTTGACACTTGATGCGACCCCCCTTGCTGACCAGTCCCCCCACCTCCCGGGAGCAGGTGAAATACTGGATCCAGGGTGACTCTGAGTCTGAAGCCCACCTGCTTGACAGCAAGGTGCCCTCCGTGGAGCTCACCAACCTGTACCCATATTGTGACTATGAGATGAAAGTGTGTGCCTACGGGGCGCAGGGCGAGGGACCCTACAGCTCCCTGGTGTCCTGCCGCACCCACCAAGAAGGTGAGTCCTTGCCCTGTCCATCCGTTTGTCTGTCCTCCAGCTGCCCCGATACCTGCATGCTCAGCCCTTCCGCCCTCTGCCGCTGACAGCACTCTTCCTGTTCCCCTCCCACCCCAGTGCCCAGCGAGCCGGGGCGTCTCGCCTTCAATGTCGTCTCCTCCACGGTCACCCAGCTGAGTTGGGCCGAGCCAGCCGAGACCAACGGTGAAATCACAGCCTATGAGGTCTGCTACGGCCTGGTCAATGAGGACAATCGTAAGAACTGGCCTTCCCCTTCCTGCTCCCAGGGACAGCAGCCATGGAAGGAGAGAGGACAAAGGGCTCTGGGTTACTCCTGGACCTGCTGTGCAGGGCACTTGAGCCCCTTCGTCCTGGCCAGCAGATAAGCCAGGGGCATCCTTAAGTTTCTGGCCAGATTGGGTCTGGGTTGTATGCTAAGGCCAAGCCCAGAAGCCCACAGGTGGGTGGGATCATATATGTGCAGTGGGGTCACAGGCCCAGGGCATCTTTCCATGCAAGAACCCAGGTTGGCTCGTAGTTACAGAGTTCTCTTGGGGTCAGAGTAGAGTTGCCAGATTTAGCAATCAAAAATACAGGACACTCTGAACTTATAGATGCAATTTTTTTTTTTTTTTTTGAGTTGAAGTCTCACTCTGTCACTCAGACTGGAGGGCAGTGGCCGCTCCCGGCCACCGCAGCCTCGACCTGCTGGGCTCCAGTGATCCTTCCGCCTCAGCCTTCCAAGTAGCTGGAACTACAGGCGCGCGCTACCATGCCCGGCTAGTTTTTGATTTTATTGTAGAGATGAGGTCTCACCAAGTTGCCCAGGCAGGTCTCGAACCCACGGGCTCAGGCAATCCACTCACCTCAGCCTCCCAAAGTGCTGGGATTACAGGCTGAGCCACCGAGCCCGGCTCAGATGCAATGTTTTAACTGGCAGCCCCAGACTAGAGTGCCTGGTAGAGCTGTTATTTCTTCTCAGTCCCGGAAGGGGTGGAAGGATGGGTGACCCCAAGGAGTAGCCTTGCCTCTTGAGCGAGCCTCGTGGAGGCAACTTGGGCATGTCAGTAGAGGAAATACCGGGGCCAACTTGAGTCTAGCCCTGGCTCTGCCACTTATTCAGAGAAGTCCTTTGGAGAGCTGGTGACACCTGGCTGAGCCAGTCATGCCAAGGCTCGAAGGACTCTGCAGGTGGCAGTTCAACGACTGCACACTCTGGCCCCCTGCCCCGGGTGCCGTTCAGGGGCTGTGTGGTGGCCCTGCTACATGAGAAGCAGCACTGGGACCAGGCTGGAGCCTGGAAGACCCCTCTGAAGTGCTCTCCCTACCCCAGGACCCATCGGGCCCATGAAGAAGGTACTGGTCGACAGCCCCAAGAATCGGATGCTGCTCATCGAGAACCTTCGGGAATCGCAGCCGTACCGCTACACGGTGAAGGCGCGCAACGGGGCGGGCTGGGGGCCTGAGCGGGAGGCCATCATCAACCTGGCCACCCAACCCAAGCGGCCCATGTCCAGTGAGTGGTGGGTGGGGAGGGGCGGGCAGATGGTGGGGGCTGGGGGCCGCAGCAGGGGCCTTGGCTCACGTCTTCCCGCCCCGCAGTCCCCATCATCCCTGACATCCCCATCGTGGACGCCCAGAGTGGGGAGGACTACGACAGCTTCCTCATGTACAGCGATGACGTGCTGCGCTCCCCGGCTGGTAGCCAGAGGCCTAGCGTCTCTGATGACACTGGTGAGTGGGCCTGGATCCACAAGAGGAAGCGGGGGGAGGTCTTGGGTACAGGGTGAGGCTGTCGCTGGTGTCCAGAGAAAGCACACAGGGCATGGGGAACAAAACTAGAAGTCCCAGCCGGGCTTGGTGTAATCCCGCGCCTTTGGGAGGCTGAGGTGAGTGGATTGCCTGAGCCCTCGGGTTCGAGACCCGCCTGGGCAGCGAGACCTCATCTCTACAATAAATCAAAAAATCAGCCGGGCGTGGTAGCGCGCGCCTGTAATTCCGGCTACTCGGAAGGCTGAGGCGGAAGGATCGCCGGAGCCCAGGTCCAGTCTGGGCGACAGAGTGAGACTCCAACTCAAAAAAAAAACACAAAAAAAACCCACTAGAAGTCCCTCCTCAGCCTCAGACATGCAGTCGTGTGCACACCTGTGTGAGGGCATCCGCACGTGTGCCGTGGGACAGGCACACAGGTTCGTGCACATGTACACGGGTTCGTGCACACAGGACCATGTGGAAACACAGCTTTGCAACTTGAAGGTTGACAGAGTCAGGACACTCAAGCCGCTCGTCAGGAGCAAGCCTGTGTGAGAGCGGTCACCTCGAGGGTGGGGGGAGCCAATGAGATAGCAGCAACCCCCACTGGCTCTGCTCCTCCTTCCTTGATTCCGGGCACAAGGTGGCACAAAGAGCCCTTTGCTGGGACGTGTGAGGCTGTCTTAACTCTGGTTCCACCGTGGAACATCAGAGGAATCTCCCTTTCTGTGCCTCCATTTTCTGATCAGCATAATGGGATAACAATCACAAGAGCCAAGAGTGGGAAGCCCTCCGGGGCACGTTCGCTGTTTGTATTATCTTCCGTCGCTGCCTATGCCCGGGCCCTCCAGTGTAGTCTGAGAGAAAGAGCAGCTGATATGAATCGGAGCCTCAGCTCGGCCTCTCTGCCACCCCCAGCAAAGTGCTTCGTGGTTGCCGGCACTGTCCCTGGAGGCAGGCCGGGCCAAGATGAGGCTCTCCATCGTGCAGGCAGGAAACTGAGGCTCGGAGCCCTCGGGAGATCTCCCAGCCGGTGTGAGGGTCTCCCCGAAGCGCCCCCGCCCTCCCGCCTGGATCCCGGGGGGCCGGGAGCGCCGGCCTCCCCCGCGCCGCCCTGCTCGGCGCAGCCGCCCGCGGCGTCCCGGCGGTGCCAACGCGGCCCTTCGTTGTTCCCAAGGCGGCG